AGACTGTCAGCTCGCTGCCGCACTCCGGAAGAACGATGGTCACAGGACGCCAAGCGATTCACTCTCGCAGGGCCCTCCTCCGAATGAGCGTCGAGGGTCAGCGGGTCAGCGGTATTCGGAGGGTGTTGCCATGATCGGGTGCGTTTCGTTTGGAATGAATGAATGTAGAACGCAAGCGAATCGGATATAGAGGAATGATTTGGTCCAGAATGATCTCAACGGGTGTATTCAAAACCTCTTGTGCAGTACTCGGAAAGCCACAAGGTACGAGATAGACACGGGGGGGGGTGGGGGGTGGTGTGATTTACTGTACATCTCGCACACACAAAGTTCCCCCATATAGCCTTAAGGGGCAAGTGCTGTTCGCGAGCAGCACCACGCCCGGCCACAGTTTGTCTGCCGAGCGGCGATGTTTACACACCCACACCAGGTACTCATTTTGAGGCTGAGTCCATCCAGGGAAGGACTAGGACCGGTTTAGATAATCGTCACCGGTGTTGGCCGTGAGCCAGAGGCGATCTCGGGTGGCAGGGTTCGACCGCGCAGCGCGCTGACCGCTGCGAGATCGCTCCCCGCCACAAAGACAAAGATCCCACGTATCGCCTGTAACAGTCTTTTGGGGGCAAGTGCTATTTAGCGTGGCACCTACGAAGGCCGGCACGGCACACGAGGGCTGTGGGTGGCCACGCACATATACAGCCAGACACACAGAGTGGGAGATAATTATTGAATCAGCTTGTGAATTAGGAGAATCTATACGTTCATCAGTGACGCATGTGTAAACTGAGACAGGAGAGACGCGGAGAGAGAGAGATATGGAGACACAGTCATGGAGACAAGAGAGCGCGACATGAGTGTATAAAGTGTGTGTCAGTACCCTTATCGGCGGGGAGCGGTGGCGCAGTGGTTAGCACGCTGCGCTACGAACCCGGTTCGATTCTCGCTCACGATAATCGTCGCAATAAGAGTGACGATTTTCTAAACGGGGTCTGGGTCTCCCCTTAGGTCGACTCAGCCTCAAATGAGTGCCTGGTGCGATGTGTAAACATCGCCACTGCAGAGACAAAGGCGGCCGGGCGTGGTGTTGGCCACCAACCGACTCTTGTGCCGTCGTTGATAGGTGCTCGCTGATAACACTTGCCCCAAAAAAGTATTTTAGAGCTATTCGGGTGGTCTTTGTCTTGTTGTACCCTTATCGCAGAATACGTGTGTGGAAAAATATAGTCGACGTTAAACATAAAAACTAAACTATTTTTTTTATTTTACCAAGTAAAGCCCAGCTACACAGCTCTTTGTCAGAAGCGACCTGGCCACAAATGATAACTCGACTAAGTGGCTTACCACGTGGAAATGTATCGCAGCCAAATACTTAAATGTGGAGGGAAAAACCGGAGGACCCAGGAAAGAATCACAACAACCAGGGGGTTAGAGACACACAAACTCCAAATATACAGCAGCAGCAGGCGTCGGTCGGGATCGAACCCACAACCTCCTGTATACCAGGCGAGGTTGTTAACATCTCCTAGCCACCGTGGCACTGCATCTCTTTCAGGGCAGAGACGGTGAAACAGATACGTTGAGATAGAGACAGAAAGACGGAGACGGACATATTCAGGCAACGAAGAGATAACGATTCCGCAAGAGATGACGATTTCACACGGATGCTTTCGCGACCAATATTATCCAGAACAAATCTGGCTCTCGCCTGATGATGCTAGTTGTGATTGCTGGCGAAACGTCGTACTCGAATTGTAAATGTTGTGCGTTTACTCTCCAACACACCGGTGTGCTGTACTAGTAACTAATTGGCACGTTTTGTTGACGTGACAACCCTTAACTAATTGGCTGTGTCGGGTGGTGTCGGGTTTAACTACACATTTATATTTTCGCGATTTAACCCCCCAAAAGCCCCTCTATTGTACAGAGGTGATCATCATTCCGCTTGTTGACCCAGGAAACTTTCACTGAGTCGCATGACTATTTTTCAGGAGGGTCCTGCCAGGCTCACGCAGAAGGCGGTGATGTTGATTGCTGCTCCTGCTGTGATTTTCTGAACGGGTCCTAGGCCTCTCCTACTGTAGGTCGACTCAGCCTCAAATGGGTACCTGGTACCGGTGTGTAAACAGCGCCACTGGGGAGACAAAGGTGGCCGTGCGTGGCTTTGGCCACACCACCCACCTCCTCGTGTGCCGTGCCGGCCTTCATAGGTGCTTCTCGCTAACAGCACTTGCCCCAACAGTCTGTTACAGGCTATACGGGGGGATCTTTGTCCTTGCTATCATTACACACAGAGTGCTTCACGCAAATGAACCACAATACCTTGACGATCTCGTCAAGGAGCACGAACCATGACGCGAACTCCGGTGGTCGTTGGCTGCGAGCCATCGAACAAAGACGGTTGCTGCTTCGCGCGGCGCTTTCAGATGCGCCGCTGCGGCCGTCTGGAACGCTCTTCCTTCCGATATTTAGGAAGCCACTGGAGCTATGCACTTTTAAATCATCATCTAGATTGACAAACTCATTTCTTTAGAACTGCTTCTTGTTGCGTTTAGTGTTGTTGTCCTTCCTCGGCACCTCCGGTTAGCACGGTTGGCTAAGTACGGTGCAAAAGAAGTTCAACGTACTTTACATACATTGAGTCATTTTAGAGATGCATAGACAGAGACGGACAGCATCAAAGAGAGCGAGACGGACACAGAGGCAGGCAGGCAGGCAGACAGAAACAGACACGAATAGAGGTAGAGACAGACACAAACAGAGGGAGGGAGGGAACGAGATGCGAGATAGCGATGAGAGGTGGAGGGAGTGCGGAGGGTGTGTGGGTGGGGGGTTGATGCCGTCAAACTCTGAGGGTGGGGCGAGAATGGGAGAAAGACAAAGGTGGCGAGGAGGTGAGCGAGTGAAGAGAGAGGGGAGAGATGGGGGGGGGGGGCGAGAGAGGTGAACTCGGTTAGCGTTAAACCTGTAGTGCGAATATTTAACGGAGCGTTGGCCATCGGGTTTCTAGCGCAGTGTGCTCACTGCTGCGCCACCGCTCCCGCCACCTACCCCCACCCACCATATCGCGGTGACCTTCACGATGATGGATAGTTTGCGGTCGGCGATGGTGTCGATGTTGATGGCAGTAACACTGGCGATGTCAATGATGATGATGATGAAGAATGTATGATGATGTCAACGATGGTGTTAATGATGGCAATTTTACTTTGATGATGATAATGATCAGTGCCGGATTATCCTAGCAGCACAAGTAGCTACATAATGCTACGGGCCCCGCACTTTCAAGGGCCCCGCGCTAAACGCTTTCAAGCTATCAATTCCGGTTCACTGATTCTGCACTTGCTCTATCACTATAGTACTATACCGCCTTCAACTTTTATGAACGACTGGGTGTTTAAGGTTAGCGATTTGTCGTATTATCTGGCTGTATATCAAATAAAAAAAAATACAATTACCCTTACTGTGAAAGCAAAACAATTGTGTTTTAATATTGACGTGTTTTTAATTGTATGGCCCCTTAATAACATAATGCTACGGGCCCCCGCACTAGCTGAATCCGGCACTGATAACAATGCGGATGTTCTTCTTATTCCCAGTGAGAATATTATTGTGTTATTTGATTTTATCAATTTATTATTTTATTCTCATTCTACGTGACTTTACCGAAAGAACCAAAGAAGATGAATCCTTGCAGTCACGAAAGCTTTAAATCGAAATGCGGATGTTGTCGATGATGATTTTTTGTTATTGGTGATGATGACAGCAACGCGACCCACGACGGCGACGACGTTCACGGCGATGTTGTCGGTAATTATTCCGATTGACGTCGGCGATGAGTGACAAATCGAGGGCGTCAATGTTGCTGCTATTCACGGCGATGATTTGGGCGATGCCAGCGACGGTGATGCCAAGCAGCAACGTTGCCTATACTCTTTGGTTCTATTCGGTAAAGTAGGTAAATAAATAAATCAACAAAAATCACGACGTTTCGGCCACAACACAAGTAGCCTTCTTCAGGTGAAGGAACAGAACTGTCGGGACGACAGAGCTTCAATGAACGCTGCTAAGGTTCGTGGCGTCTTTTTAAGCCGGGTGAGAGAAGTGAGGCACCTTGACAAAGGAGTTTACATATCAAACAGGAGAATTTAGCATTGAAATAGCTGAGGGATTAGCTTGTGACTGGTCACAGACATAGCTATGTTAAAGTCAAAGTTTACACATCCACAGAGGCACCTAGTACATGGACGCCAAAGGGGCTGCGCTACCCAACTATCATACAGTAAACCGATGTGAAAAAAAACTAAGAAAAAATAAGTCTAAATTACATCAATAATATAATAAATGTACTCAATAAAAAAAGGCGCCACGAATCTTAGCAGCGTTCATTGAAGCTCTGTCGTCCCGACAGTTCTGTTCCTTCACCTGAAGAAGGCCACTTGTGTTGTGGCCGAAACGTCGTGATTTTTGTTGTTTTATTTTTTTTACCTACGTGTGACTTTACCGAATAGAACCAAAGAGCATGGATCCTTGCAGTCACGAAAGCTTCAAATCTAGAAGCGACGTTGCCGTTCGCCAGACTGCCTTCTGGCCGGCGCCAGGCTGGGCCTCCTCGATGCGCACGTGGAGAGACTTTGGGTGCCGCCGATGAGCTCAGGGGTGATGCGGCTTTGCAAGCGGCTGGCGCGTCCGCGCCACGAACCCAAGCGACTCGAGTTCCGTTCGCGCTCACGGCCACCAACACCGGCGACGATGATATCTGAACCGCTCCTGTGCCTCCTTTAGGTCGACTCAGCCTCGAATGAGTACCTGGCGCGGTGTGTAGTCAACATCGTCGCTGGGGTGAGACAAAGGCGGCCGGGCGTGGTGCTGGCCACCCAGCCCCTCGTGCGCCGTGTCGGCCTTTTACTAACAGCACTTGCCCCCCACTCCCCCCCCCCCAACAGTCTGCGAAGGCTATACGGGGGATCTTTGTCTTTGCTCATGTCAATGGTGTTCCTCAGGCTCACGGCGATGGGAAAGCAACGCCTGACGCTGGGACTTCGTCTCCCGCGCTCCACTCCGCGCAGGAGCAGCCTCTCCGCTTCCCTGGAGGCGCTCTCCCTCTACCTGCCCTGCCTCTCTCCTCCCGGCTCGCACCCCGGTGCGGGTGCGTGCATGCGTTTAGGTCGACTCGGCCTCAAATGAGTACCTGGTGCGGTGTGTTGTAAACATCGCCGCCGGGGCGAGACCAGAGGCGGCCAGGCGTGGCGCTGGCCACCCACCCCCTCGTGTGCCGTGAGGGCCCTTCATAAGTGTTGCTCGCTAAGAGCACTTGCCCCGACAGTCTGTGAAGGCTGTCCGGGGTGCCTTTGTCTTCGTATGCGATGCTTGCGGAGTGAATTGGGGAGCGGTGGTGTGGCGGTTAGCGCGCTGCGCTGCGAACCCGGCGACGATTATCTGAACCGCCCCTGGACTCCGCCTCAAATGAGCACCCGGTGCGATGTGTTAACATTAGTACTCGAGATACAAAGGCGGCCGGGCGTGGTGTTGGCCACCCACCCCCCTCGTGCACCAGAGTGCCGGCCTTCATAGGTGCTGCTCGGTAACAGCACTTGCCCCAACACTCTGTTGAAGGCTATACGGGGGGGGGATCATTGTATTTTGTTTTGTTGGACACGCGCGCGTGCGTGCGTAGTTGGGCTAGGTGGCGGCCATGCACGTGGCCTCTAGTCCATCACTGTGGAGACAACAGCAAAGGGGTTGGTGGATCACACAGACATGTTGCGAAACTTCCCTTCCCGTGGGTGGGCGTCGAGGAGGAGCCATACCTCTGGCTCTGCCAGTAGAGGACTCCCATCTGTTCCGTCTGCACGGAGATAGAGCGTTTCTCCCTCGCGTGCGTAGGGTTTCTCCTGATACACTTAAACATTCATTATTGGCACCACGGTGCCGAGACGTTAACTACCTTGCCTGGTATACAGGAGATCGTGGGATCGATCCTGACCCTGACGCCTGCATATTTTGAGTTTGCAAGTCCTCCCCAATAGCACATTCATATAAACAGTGGAGCGCAGAGCTTGGGCAATTGTTGGTAGCGGCCGGCTCCTCATCACCGCGTGGCTGCTGTCACTGTCTCCTCACTCGTCTGTGGTTCCTTTTCCTGGCGCCTCTGAGTCGTCCCCCCCCCCCTCTCTCTCTATGAGTCGCCCTCTCTCTCTCTGAGTCGTCCCCCCCCTCTCTCTCTCTGAGTCGTCCCCCTCTCTCTCTGAGTCGTCCCCTCTATAAGTCGTCCCCTCTCTGAGTCGTCCCCTATATGAGTCGTCCCCTCTCTCTCTGAGTCGTCCTCTCTCTCTCTCTGAGCCATCCCCCTCTCTCTCTCTGAGTCGTCCTCTCTCTCTCTGAGCCATCCCCCCTCACTCTCTGAGCCATCCCCCCTCTCTCTTTCTGAGTCATCCCTCCTCTGAGTCGTCCCCTCTCTCTCTGAGTCGTCTCTCTCCGAGTCGTCCCCCCTCACTCTCTCTAGAGTCGTCCCCTCTAGGAATCGTCCTCTCTCTCTCTCGAGTCGCCCCCCCCCCCCTCTCCCTGAGTCGTCCTCTCTCTCTCTCTGAGTCGTCCTCTCCTATCTCTACGAGAGCGAGGAGCGGACACCGTCCATCAGTGCAGCGTTACGAGTTGAGCTCATTGTTATCACAGTATTATTGCCCTAACCCAGTTTTCTTCACTAATTTTCAGGGGGCGGGGAGGGGTGGGACACTTTCGCCGATAAGACGTAATCAGTTTTGAGGGCCTGCCACACATTTGAAACCATTAGGATGTTATAAAAAAACGTTAACATTAAAACACACATTTTTACTTGTACAGTAAAGTAATTGTATTTTTTCATTTGCTATGCAGCCAGATAATACGACGAATCGCTAACCTTAAACACCCAGTCATTCACAAAAATTGAAGGCGGTATAGTACTATAGTAATAGAGCAAGTGCAGAATCACTGAACCGGAATTGATAGCTTGAAAGCGTTTAGCGCGGAGCCCTTGAAAGTGCGGGGCCCGTAGCTACTACATATGCAGAAGCTACGGGTAGTAGCTACTACTACATATGTAGTATATTGATAGCTTGAGTATATGTAGTAGTAGCTACATATGTAGTAGTAGCTACTACATATGTAGCTACTACATATGGAGTAGTAGCTACTACGTATGTAGTAGTAGTAGCTACATATGTAGTAGCTACTACTACTACATATGTAGTAGTAGTAGCTACATATGTAGTAGCTATTACATATGTAGCTACTATGTAGTAGTAGCTACATATGTAGTAGTAGCTACTAATAGCTACTACGTATGGAGTAGTAGTAGCTACACATGTAGTAGTAGTAGCTACTACATATGTAGCTACTACTACATACGTAGTAGTAGCTATTAGTAGCCACTACTACATATGTAGCTACTACGTATGTAGTAGTAGTAGTAGTAACTACATACGTAGTAGCTACTACTACTACTACATATGTAGTAGTAGCTACTACTACATATGTAGCTACTACTACTCCATACGTAGTAGCTATTAGTAGCTATTAGTAGCTACTACTACATATGTAGTAGTAGCTACTACTACATATGTATGTAGTAGTAGCTACCATGTGTAGTAGTAGCTACCATTACTACTACATTACATTAGTAGTAGCTACTACTACATATGTAGTAGTAGCTACTACTACTACTACATATGTAGTAGTAACTACTACAGATGTAGCTACTACTACATATGTAGTAGTTACTAGTAGTTACTACTACTACATATGTAGTAGTAGTTACTACTACTACTACATATGTACTAGTAGTAGCTACTACTACTACTACATATGTAGCTACTTGTGCTGCCAGGATAAACCGGCACTGACGTCATGGGGTCGCACTAAAGGCCACCAAGGGGCCGCCAGTGGCCAGCGGGGGGGGTGGGGGTGGGGGGTGGTGGGTGGGGGGGGGGGTGTGGGGGGCTTGCAATGACGAAACGCTGCCAACTGAATCGTGGCCGACCACGGCTGCCACGGCCACCTCCTCGCGACGCCCCCCCCGGGCGAGCCGTGGGGAGGGAGCCTCAGAACATCGGTGGGCGCGCCTTGATCCACCAACCCTTCGGAGCCGCTGCATCCGCTGCGCTGTATTGCAGGCGGCCACGTGCACCATCGCCCCCCATCCCCCCACCGCCCCACAGCTGCGCACAGCTGGCCACAAAGAGGGGGAATCTTTAAAACTCAACAATTATTTATTGTACCCAGGTAAGGCCCACTGAGCTACGTAGCTCTTTTTATTTTCGGACGCGACCTGGCCGCCACAAATCATAGCTCAACGTGGAAATTTATAGCGGGAGCCAAATACTCCAATGAAAAGGCGTGATGTTGATTCTAAATGTGGAGGGGAAAGCCCAGAGGACCCGATGAACAATTCACGTGACCACAGGGAGACAGAGAGAGAGAGACACTGCAAACTCTAAATATACAGCAGCAGGCGTCAGGGTCTGGATCGAACCCACAACCTTCTGCTGCATACCAGGCGAGGGAGTTAACATCTCCTAGCCACCGTGGGACCCAAAGGTAAGGAGATGGCGGCACCCTTACCCAAAAGTAAGGAGCGCCACGGTGGCTAGGAGATGTTCACTGCCTCGCCTGGTACGCATGAGGATCATGGGTTAGATCCCGCCACTGGGATTTTTTGCACACAGCGTTGGTGTACGGTGCTATTTCAGGAATATTTTTTACGTTTTTTTTTTCCTGGATTTTCTGTTTGCACAGTCACATAAAGTCACTTTAAGATGTTTTTCTTGTTCGTGTTTTTTGTTCGTTGCGGTTGCACCCGATTCTAGAGCCGAATGGCTCACATGGCTATACCAAATACATGAACTATGGAACTGTGGACACTGACGCCTGCTGCTGCTGCTGTATATTTGGGATCTGCGGTGGCTCGTTCTCTCTCTCCCCGTGGTCGCGTGGATTCTTCTCCGGGGTCATCCGGTGTTTTTCCCTCCACATTTAGAATCAACGTCACGCCTTTAGAGTATTTGGGCTGCTATACATTTCCACACACTGATGACGAGCAACTTCGTCGGGCTATCATTTCTGATGGCCAGGTGGCTTCTGAAGAAGAGCTATATAGCTCAGTGGGCCTTACCTAGTAAAATTAAAATAGTTTTTAGTTTAAATAGTTTTTTTTTAATGTTCTATGTCTACAATATTTTTCACACTCGTCTCCTGTGATGAGGATACAACAAGACAGAGTAGTCGGTTGCTGCTATACATTTCCACGTGACGATAAGCGACTTCATTGAGCTATCACGTGTGATGGCCAGGTCGCTTCTGAAGAAGAGCTACGTCGCTCAGTGGGGCCTTACCTGCAACTTTTTTTATTGATACTTTTTGTCTGTCCCCACCCCCCATGCCCTTCCCCCAATGCCCCCCCATGCCCTCCCCCCAATGCCCCACCCATGCCCTCACCCAAATGCCCCCCCAATGCCCTCCCCCCAATGCCCCGCCCATGCCCTCCCCCCATGCCCTCCCCCCAATGCCCCCCCCCCAATGGCCCCCCAATGCCTCCCAATGCCCCCCATTCCCTCCCCCCCATGCCCCCCCATGCCCCCCCATGCCCCCCCCCCCAGGTGTGCGTCGGCACAGCACAGTGCGGCGCAGCACGGAGACGGGTCTGGCCGCGGAGCCCCCCACACGCTCCCCCCGGGGGGGGGCACCCCCCCCTGCCGGCCTCTCCCCCCGGCCCACCCCCACCCCGCACCCCCGCGCCTCCGTCTCCAGCCGAGCCCACAGCCTGCCCTGCGAGTCCACTCTGTACGTGGGGCACAGCACGGGGGGGGGGGGGGGCAGCACGTGGGGTACAGCACGTGGGGGGCAGCACGGGGCGGGGTACAGCACGTGGGGCACAGCACGTGGGGTACAGCACGGGGGGGGGGGGGGTGAGCACAGAGCAGCAGAGGAAGAACGGGGGCAGCATGGGGGCAGTACACAGAGCAACAGCGGAGGTACGGGGAAAGCAGAGGAAGCACGGGGGCAGTACAGGGCAGCATGGGGGCAGTACAGGGCAGCATGGGGGCAGTACAGGGCAGCATGGGGGCAGTACAGGGCAGCACGGGGGCAGTACAGGGCAGCATGGGGGCAGTACAGGGCAGCAGGGGGGCAGTACAGGGCAGCACGGGGGCAGTACAGGGCAGCATGGGGGCGGTACAGGGCAGCACGGGGGCAGTACAGGGCAGCATGAGGGCAGTACAGGACAGCATGGGGCAGTACAGGGCAGCATGGGGGCAGTACAGGACAGCACGGGGGCAGTACAGGACAGCATGGGGCAGTACAGGACAGCATGGGGCAGTACAGGACAGCATGGGGCAGTACAGGGCAGCACGGGGGCAGTACAGGACAGCATGGGGCAGTACAGGGCAGCATGGGGGCAGTACAGGACAGCACGGGGGCAGTACAGGGCAGCACGGGGGCAGTACAGGGCAGCATGGGGGCAGTACAGGGCAGCATGGGGGCAGTACAGGGCAGCACGGGGGCAGTACAGGGCAGCATGGGGGCGGTACAGGGCAGCACGGGGGCAGTACAGGGCAGCATGGGGGCAGTACAGGACAGCATGGGGCAGTACAGGGCAGCATGGGGGCAGTACAGGACAGCACGGGGGCAGTACAGGACAGCATGGGGCAGTACAGGACAGCATGGGGCAGTACAGGACAGCATGGGGCAGTACAGGGCAGCACGGGGGCAGTACAGGACAGCATGGGGCAGTACAGGGCAGCATGGGGGCAGTACAGGACAGCACGGGGGCAGTACAGGGCAGCACGGGGGCAGTACAGGGCAGCATGGGGGCAGTACAGGGCAGCATGGGGGCAGTACAGGGCAGCACGGCGGCAGTACAGGGCAGCAGCCGAAGCACGGGGTCAGCAGAGGAAGGTCGGGGCAGCATGGGGCAGTGGGGGGCAGCAGGAGCAGTTGTAAGATGGCCATAGGGTTAGGGTAAGTTTAGTAGGGAGCACAGAACAGGGTCGGGTTGAGTGGTTAAAGGTAAGGGGAGGGTTAGTGGCTAGGCCGTAGCTAGTTGACGCAGGGCGCTGTAACCCCAAATAGTAATTGTTGTGCGTGTTGTGTTGGTGGCAGGGCGCTGTAACCCCCCATAGTAATTGTTGTGCGTGTTGTGGTCGTGGTAGGGCGCTGTAACCCCCAATAGTAATTGTTGTGATTGTTGTGTTGGTGTTAGGGCGCTGTAACCCCCCATAGTAATTGTTGTGCGTGTTGTGGTCGTGGTAGGGCGCTGTAACCCCCAATAGTAATTGTTGTGATTGTTGTGGTTGTGGTAGGGCGCTGTAACCCCCAATAGTAATTGTTGTGATTGTTGTGTTGGTGTTAGGGCGCTGTAACCCCCAATAGTAATTGTTGTGATTGTTGTGGTTGTGGCAGGGCACTGTAACCCCCAATAGTAATTGTTGTGATTGTTGTGGCCATGGTAGGACGCTGTAACCCCAATAGTAATTGTTGTGCGTGTTGTGGTCGTGGTAGGGCGCTGTAACCCCCAATAGTAATTGTTGTGATTGTTGTGGTAGGGCGCTGTAACCCCCAATAGTAATTGTTGTGATTGTTGTGTTGGTGTTAGGGCGCTGTAACCCCCAATAGTAATTGTTGTGATTGTTGTGGTTGTGGCAGGGCACTGTAACCCCCAATAGTAATTGTTGTGATTGTTGTGGCCGTGGTAGGACGCTGTAACCCCAATAGTAATTGTTGAGCGTGTTGTGGTCGTGGTAGGGCGCTGTAACCCCCAATAGTAATTGTTGTGCTTGTTGCATTGGTGGCAGGGCGCTGTAACTCCCAATAGTAATTGTTGTGCTTGTTGCATTGGTGGCAGGGCGCTGTAACTCCCAATAGTAATTGTTGTGATTGTTGTGTTGGTGTTAGGGCGCTGTAACCCCCAATAGTAATTGTTGTGCTTGTTGCATTGGTGGCAGGGCGCTGTAACCCCCAATAGTGATTGTTGTGATTGTTGTGTTGGTGTTAGGGCGCTGTAACCCCCAATAGTAATTGTTGTGATTGTTGCGTTGGTGGCAGGGCGCTGTAACCCCCAATAGTAATTGTTGTGATTGTTGTGGTCGTGGTAGGGCGCTGTAACCCCCAATAGTAATTGTTGTGCGTGTTGTGTTGGTGGCAGGGCGCTGTACCCCCCAATAGTAATTGTTGTGATTGTTGTGGTTGTGGTAGGGCGCTGTAACCCCCAATAGTAATTGTTGTGCGTGTTGTGGTCGTGGTAGGGCGCTGTAACCCCCAATAGTAATTGTTGTGCGTGTTGTGGTCGTGGTAGGGCGCTGTAACCCCCAATAGTAATTGTTGTGCGTGTTGTGGTCGTGGTAGGGCGCTGTAACCCCCAATAGAATTGTTGTTATTGTTGTGGTTGTGGCAGGGCGCTGTAACCCCCAATAGTAATTGTTGAGCGTGTTGTGGTCGTGGTAGGGCGCTGTAACCCCCCAATAGTAATTGTTGTGCTTGTTGTGTTGGGGCGCTGTAACCCCCAATAGTAATTGTTGTGCGTGTTGTGTTGGTGTTAAGGCGCTGTAACCCCCAATAGTAATTGTTGTGCGTGTTGTGGTCGTGGTAGGGCGCTGTACCCCCCAATAGTAATTGTTGTGCGTGTTGTGTTGGTGTTTGGGCGCTGTAACCCCCAATAGTAATTGTTGTGCGTGTTGTGTTGGTGTTAGGGGGCTGTAACCCCCAATAGTAATTGTTGTGCGTGTTGTGGTCGTGGTAGGGCGCTGTAACCCCCAATAGTAATTGTTGTGATTGTTGTGGTTGTGGCAGGGCGCTGTAACCCCCAATAGTAATTGTTGTGCGTGTTGTGGTCGTGGTAGGGCGCTGTAACCCCCAATAGTAATTGTTGTGCGTGTTGTGGTTGTGGTAGGGCGCTGTAACCCCCAATAGTAATTGTTGTGCGTGTTGTGGCCGTGGCAGGGCGCTGTACCCGCAGGTGAGGCTGCACTCCCACGCTGAGCTGAGCGGCTTCCTGGACGGACTGGGGCCGGGCCAGGTGGCAGGGAGACAGAGCCTTGCCACCCTCTCCCTCGGCACGGCAACCACCACCATCAACAACAACACCACCAACAACAACACCACTAATACCACCAACAACAACAACAACACCACCACCAACAATACTACTAATACCAACAACAACACCACCACCAATACTAATACCAACACCACCAACAACACCACCACCAATACTAATACCAATACCACCAACACCACTATCAATACCACCAATAGCACCACTGCCAATGCCATAACCACCATCACCACCAACAATAACACCACCACCAACACCACTATCACCACCAACACCACCACCAACAACAACAACCGCCATTCGCCACTAAGTGGTGGTGACGTCACCACGACGCTTGAGCCAGGCCATGTGCACCTTTAGGCCACTTGAAGTGTCGAACGCCTGCTGGCATGAGGTCACGGGGCAGACCCAAGTGCCACGGGTCGACTGACTTAGATGACTGAGATGACTGGCTGATGCACCATATGTGCCCCCTACTGTGCCAACCTGCTGTGCTTTAGCCACCCGGCGCTCCGCTCGTAGTTGTGAGCGTCGCTCCTCCGCCCTCCGTTGTTGTTGGAGGGCGACTGCCTCCAACTGTCCAGTAGCGTCCTTCACGAGCCTCCTCCACAGAGGCCGATCTTGACACCGCTGGTACCAGTCATCGGCAAGTCCACTCAGCTCCACATCCTCCTGTACCACATCACTCCATCTCTTCTCTAGCCTGTGCCCATTTAGCCCCCTCTATCCGGCCGAACAAAAGCTGTTTCGGCATGCGGTGGCTGGGCATGCGGGCTACATGACCCAGCCAAAGCAGCCTTGCCTGCCGGAGGAGCTCACCGATGGGACCGTGCCCAGATCTTTCAAGGATTTGTGAGCTCACACAATCCAGCATGGTTAACCCCAGGATAAATCGTAGGCAGGCTAGCCGAAATGTTTCTAACCGGCGAAGATGTACCATTAGGGGGGTCCACGTTTCGCTAGCATAGAGACGGGAGGGAATGACCGTGGCCGAGAAAACCTGAAGCTTAGTGCGGAGTGACAGACCAGGTAGCTTCCACACAGTGTTACGCAACCGATGAAAAGATATTTCCGCTCGACTGATTCGGAGTGAGACCTCTGCTGTTAAACTGGAGCCGGTCATAAGCACACTGCCCAGGTATGGGAAACTCTCCACTCTCTCCACAACTGCCCCATCACCGATTGGGAGTTATGGGGTGGAGTGTCCGATGGTACAAAATACCCAGGCAGGTGCTTAGTTTTGGTGGGGCTGATGGTAAGGCCCCATCTCTTAGTGGCACGCTCCAGTCTCAGCAGCAGCCTCTCCAACTCCTCCTCTGAATGAGCAGCTATTACCAAATCATCGGCATACATAACATGGTTGAGCAATAGGGAGCCATCCCTTGACCGCACCCAGGCATCGATCAGCCTCCCATTATATCTGTACCAAATGGAGATTATCCCGGTACAGCTATTGAAGGCTTCACGAACTACGTGGTCAAAATAGATGTTAAATAATTTGGGAGCCAGAGGACATCCCTGTCGCACCCCAAGGTGTACAGGGAATGGCTCTGACTCCTGGCCACGTAGTTTTACCCGGGCCCGCTCACCATCATGAAGGTCCTTAATGATCGTGAGCAGAGGGTCAGGGACTCCAAAAGTACGAATAACACCCCAGAGCCCAGGCCTACTGATGGTATCATAGGCCTTGACCAGATAAATAAAGCAGAGATGTAGGTCTTGTTGGAATTCCCTACACCTCTGCTGTAGCAGACAGACAGAAAATATGCATCTGTGCAGGACCACCCTTTCCTGAAACCGCATTGGGGCTCCGCAAGCCTCTCCTCAGCGTGCCTGGCAAGGCGATGTTGAATAATCCTTGCCAGGACCTTTCCCGGTACACTGAGGAGTGAGATGCCCCCGTAGTTGTTACAGTCTGTGCGGTCCCCCTTCTTAAAGAGGGGGAACACCAGGGCATCCTTACAATCCTGCGGAACCCGTCCAGTGGTCCAGACTGTTGTTATGATGTCATATAGGGCAGTCTGTGCACAAACGCCACCCTCCCTCAGCATTTCGCTTGGGAGATCATCTCTGCCCGGTGCCTTTCCTGGTCTCAGACTCCGGATCGCCTTCAGTACTTCCTCAACAGATGGCACCTCAGCCAGCCACTCACAGGGGGTTACTTCTTCCAATATTTGAGGCACCGCAGCCTCAGCAGGGTCATCCTCACTTTGTGCCACGATGTTTTCCTGGCTGAGGGATTTCCCCTCCCCCAGGACCTCACAGAAATGCTCAGCAAATCTGCAAACCTGTTCCTGGGGGTCGGAGATTGGATCACCGTTTTTTCCCCTAATGATGGTAATAGGTGTGGCGCTGCTGGTTACTTTTTTGATGGAGTTAAATAGAGATTTGTGATCACGGGCCACTGAGGCAGACTCCATCTCCTCAGCAACCCGCGACCTACACCCATCCTTGCAGCGCCTCACGGCTCTCCGAACCTCCGAGCGAAGGCTGCGGTAAGCCTCCTCATTCTCTGGCGTGGGATTCTGTAGCCGATGACAGCGGGCCTGACGCTTTTTCTCAACCATCCTGAACACCTCCTCTGTCAGCCAGGGTCTCTGGGGAAGTCTGGACCGCGTACCCAAAGCAGCCATTGCAGCTGCATGAGTCACAGTCCTAGACCTCGCCCATTTACCCTCGAAATCAAGAGGAGTGTGGGACGATGCCAACCCCAGCCGCAAGCGATGATGAAATTCTCGCTTGCAACTTTCATCAGCTAACTGAGACCAGTCCACTTTAGGTTGAAATGGGGTCCTGGGTGTACACCCACCACCGGAATGGAAGAATGGCAGGCGCATCTTATAGTTGACTAGTCGATGGTCAGATGGCAGATCAGCTTCACGGTAGGTCTGGTGTCAAGGACATGGGCTCGCATCCGCGGGTCCGTCACTATGTAGTCCAGCAGATGTTCTTTCTTGGACCCGGCATGCATCCATGATGTCGTGTGGATGCGCCGATGCCGGAACAGCGTGTTGGTAATTACAAACCCATGGGCTGCACAAAAATCTCGCAGCCTCCAACGGTTGTTATTGAGCTAATCTGGCCCATGCCCTCCAATCACTCCCGACCAGGTGCCAGCATCATGACCAACTCAGGCATTGAAGTCACCCAAAAAGATGACTCTATCCCGAGAGGCCACTTTAGCCAGCACCTGTGACAGGAGGTCATAGAAGGCATCTGACTCATCGGCTTTGCCTGCATCCTTCCACGGATGTTCGTCTTCGGTGGGGGCATAAGTAACCACGACCACCACTCCTCACCTCCGGTTGATGGAAAGGCGAGCCCAAAGTAGCCTGGGGCTTACAGCTTCCCACACTTCACCGCCACGCTCCCACGCCCCCTTCATTATTTTGTTCAAAAGAAGAGCCACACCCTGTTGTTTGGCAGTCTGTTGCCCCAAGTAGAGGACTGTCCATCCCTCATGGTGGCAAGAGCCAGAACCGGTCCACCGGACCTCCTGAATGCCACAGAGATCCAGGCGGTACCGGTCCAGCTCCCAACAGAGGAGTGGCAGCCTCTCCTCCGCAGTGAGCATTCGAACATTCCACGTGACCACACGAAGTGGCTTTTCGTTGTTTCTGGAGGAGCCCCGAGGGTAGAGATTCAATAACCTAGCTCCGAAAATTGGGGTTTGGCTAGGAGACGTCATAGACGCCTGTTCCCCCGGGGCCTCCGGCACAAGCTTATTAGTTAATTTTTTTATTCGTGGTTTCGTGGTAATTTTTGGAAGGTGTAGGGGTTACCAGCCCCTCGCACCCATCCAGAGCCCCCGTTTAGCCACTGTGGCGGTCATAGACGCCATGGGGGGAGAGGCCAATCGGAATTGGCCCCTCCCCCCACAGCACTGTCCACGACAGAGTTGCCCGTCTGGCACCGCGCGGAGGTAGGGGGTTGTTTTGATAATACCAACACTATCACCGCCAACAACACCACCACCACCAACACCACCACCACTACCACCACTACCACCAAAATTAGCCCAACACCAACAACTACGACAATAATATCACGACCAATGCAACGCTACCACCATGTGCAATGAATGGGGTGTGTGTGTGTACGTGGTGGTACGTGAATGTGGTGTGTATTGGTTTGTGCTGTTTTTGATGATCAGAGTGTGGTGGTATGTGCTGTGTATTGGTGTGTGCCGTGTGTGGTGATGACCAGAGCGTGTGTATGTGGTGGTGGCGTGCACAGGGGACGTGGAGCTGGGGGTCTCTCTGAAGGACGAGGGCCTCACTGTGGATCTGCTGCGAGCCCGGAACCTCGTTCCGAAACCCGGAGCCAAGACACTGCCACGTGAGAGCCACAACCACGCCACAATCATGCCACAACCACGACCACGTCACAACCATGTCACAACCACGACCACGTCACAACCACGCCGCAACCACGTCACAACCACGTCACAACCACGACCACGTCTTAACCACACCACAACCACGCCACGACCATGCCACAATCAATGCCACAATCACCCGACAAGCATGTCATGCCACGCCAAAAACCACCCCACAACCAGACCACAACCATGCCATGCCACACCACTCCACAACCACTCACAACCAAAGCACAACCACGTTATGGCACACCACGCCACAACCACACCACAAACACGCCAAATCCACAGCAGAGCACAACCACCCCACAACCAACCCACACAACAGCACAACCACACCACAACCACAGCACGCCACAACCAAACCACAACCAAACCCACACCACACTACAACCACGCCACAACCACGTCACAACAGATGAAGCGATGAAACGGAGACTGTGTGTGTGTGTTTGCTTGTTCAGCGCTTACAGCGCTGCGCTATGAAACTCAGCAACCCGAGTTCGATTCCCACTCACGGCCAATATCAGTGTGAACATCACACCAGGTACTCATTGGCGATAAAGTCAGCTGGGCGTAGTGTTGCCCACCCACCCCCTTGTGTGCCATGGCGGCCTTCATCGACGCTGCTCGCTCACACACCCCCCCCCACCGGTACGTGGAGGCTACGCGGGGGATCTTTGTCTGTGCCTGTGTCATCACTGACCCCGGTCGGTGCGTGGAGGCTACGCGGGTGATCTTTGCCTGTATCTTGTGCGGCAGTGCTCACGGTGAAGGTGTACCTGCTGTGCGGGGGGGCGTGCGTGGACAAGCGCAAGGTGCGTGCCGCGCAGCGCTCGCTCGAGCCAGACTTCCACCACAAGCTGACCTTCGACGAGACCCCGCGCGGGAAGGTCCTCCAGGTGAGGTCGCGCTCACCACCAGCAGCCGTGCTCAACACACTCGCCGTGCTCAACACACTCACCACGCTCAACACACTCGTCACGCTCAACACACTCGCCACGCTCAACACACTCACCACGCTCAACACACTCGCCACGCTCAACACACTCACCACGCTCAACACACTCGCCACGCTCAACACACTCGCCGTGCTCAACACACTCACCACGCTCAACACACTCGCCACGCTCAACACACTCACCACGCTCAACACACTCACCACGCTCAACACACTCGCCACGCTCAACACACTCACCACGCTCACCGCACTCGCCACGCTCACCGCACTCGCCACGCTCAACACACTCGCCACGCTCAACACACTCGCCACGCTCACCGCACTCGCCACGCTCAACACACTCGCCACGCTCAACACACTCACCACGCTCACCGCACTCGCCACGCTCACCGCACTCGCCACGCTCAACACACTCGCCACGCTCACCGCACTCGCCACGCTCAACACACTCGCCACGCTCAACACACTCACCACGCTCACCGCACTCGCCACGCTCACCGCACTCGCCACGCTCAACACACTCGCCACGCTCAACACACTCGCCACGCTCAACACACTCGCCACGCTCAACACACTCGCCACGCTCACCGCACTCGCCACGCTCAACACACTCGCCACGCTCACCGCACTCGCCACGCTCACCGCACTCGCCACGCTCACCGCACTCGCCACGCTCACCGCACTCGCCACGCTCAACACACTCGCCACGCCCACCGCACTCGCCACGCTCACCGCACTCGCCACGCTCAACACACTCGCCACGCTCACCGCACTCGCCACGCTCACCGCACTCGCCACGCTCAACACACTCGCCACGCTCACCGCACTCGCCACGCTCAACACACTCGCCACGCTCAACACACTCGCCACGCTCAACACACTCGCCACGCTCAACACACTCGCCACGCTCACCGCACTCGCCACGCTCAACACACTCGCCACGCTCAACACACTCGCCACGCTCAACACACTCGCCACGCTCACCGCACTCACCACGCTCAACACACTCGCCACGCTCAACACACTCGCCACGCTCAACACACTCGCCACGCTCACCGCACTCGCCGTGCTCAACACACTCGCCACGCTCACCGCACTCGCCACGCTCAACACACTCGCCACGCTCAACACACTCGCCACGCTCAACACACTCGCCACGCTCAACACACTCGCCACGCTCAACACACTCGCCACGCTCAACACACTCGCCACGCTCAACACACTCGCCACGCTCACCGCACTCGCCACGCTCACCGCACTCGCCACGCTCAACACACTCGCCACGCTCAACACACTCGCCACGCTCAACACACTCGCCACGCTCAACACACTCGCCACGCTCACCGCACTCGCCACGCTCAACACACTCGCCACGCTCAACACACTCGCCACGCTCAACACACTCGCCACGCTCAACACACTCGCCACGCTCAACACACTCGCCACGCTCACCGCACTCGCCACGCTCAACACACTCGCCACGCTCAACACACTCGCCACGCTCACCGCACTCGCCACGCTCAACACACTCGCCACGCTCACCGCACTCGCCACGCTCAACACACTCGCCACGCTCACCGCACTCGCCACGCTCAACACACTCGCCACGCTCAACACACTCACCACGCTCAACACACTCGCCACGCTCACCGCACTCACCACGCTCAACACACTCGCCACGCTCAACACACTCGCCACGCTCACCACCAGCAGCCGTGCTCAACACACTCGCCACACTCAACACACTCGCCATGCTCAACACACTCGCCACGCTCAACACACTCGCCACACTCAACACACTCGCCACGCTCACCGCACTCGCCACGCTCACCGCACTCGCCACGCTCACCGCACTCGCCACGCTCAACACACTCGCCACGCTCACCGCACTCGCCACGCTCAACACACTCGCCACGCTCAACACACTCGCCACGCTCACCGCACTCGCCACGCTCACCGCACTCGCCACGCTCAACACACTCGCCACGCTCACCGCACTCGCCACGCTCACCGCACTCGCCACGCTCAACACACTCGCCACGCTCAACACACTCGCCACGCTCACCGCACTCGCCACGCTCAACACACTCGCCACGCTCAACACACTCGCCACGCTCAACACACTCGCCACGCTCACCGCACTCGCCACTCTCAACACACTCGCCACGCTCACCGCACTCGCCACGCTCAACACACTCGCCACGCTCAACACACTCGCCACGCTCAAGACACTCGCCATGCTCACCGCACTCGCCACACTCAACACACTCGCCATGCTCACCGCACTCGCCACGCTCAACACACTCGCCACGCTCAACACACTCGCCACGCTCAACACACTCGCCACGCTCACCGCACTCGCCACACTCAACACACTCGCCACGCTCACCGCACTCGCCACGCTCAACACACTCGCCACGCTCAACACACTCGCCACGCTCAACACACTCGCCATGCTCACCGCACTCGCCACACTCAACACACTCGCCACGCTCACCGCACTCGCCACGCTCAACACACTCGCCACGCTCACCACAGTCCCCGGCTTGCGCACTCGCCACGCTCGCCAGACCGGCCAGGGCGAGCTCACAACAGCAGCAGCAACAAGAAAAGCCGCAGTTCGCCACCAAGTGCAGATGGCGTCCCCGCCACGGCGCCTGCGCCAGGCTAGGTGGGCTTTGAGGCCACGTGACGTGTGGAAAGGGCTCACTGCTGGCAGGAGGTCACGGTGCAGACCCAGGTGCTGTGATTCGACCGACCGAGACGACCGTTTTATCCGCCCGGCGCTCCGCTCATTGTTGTGAGCGTCGCTCCGTTGTTGCCGTAGGGGGGTAGGGGGGTAGGGGGGGGCGGCTGCTGCCTCCAACTGCCCCAGTGGCTCCCTCCCTCCCTCCCAGGTGGTGCTGTGGGGTGACTACAGCCGGCGTGACAGCAAGTCCTTCATGGGGCTGGCTCAGATCGCTCTGGACGAGCTGGGCCTGCACCCTGCCTCCTCGACCGGCGACGAAGACGAAGAGGAGAGCGGCGGCGGCGGCGGCGGCGGCGGCGCCAACAACAACAACAACAGCAGCGGCGGCGGTGCCGACGCCGGCAACGCCGGCGACTCTGGGAGCACGGACGCCGCAGCCCCCGCCACCGCCGCCGGTGCCGCCGGTGCCGCCGGCGCCCCCCCCGTCTCCACCGTCGCTGCTGCCGAGTGCCGCGCCCCGGCGTGGTACCGGCTGTTCCCGCGCGGCGCCGGCGCCCTGCTGGCGGGGCGGCCCACGGCGCGCGCCATCTCCGAGTCGTCGCTGGAGAGCGCGTCGGCGCTCGACCCCAGCTCGCCGGGCTACGAGTCGCTGTCGCCGGGCGTCGAGTCGCTGTCGCCGAGCCCCTTCGGCTCGCGCTCGCTCATCACGCCGAGCCCCAGCTTCGAGGGCCACGCGGCGCTCGCGGCCGGAGGGGCCGGAGGGGCCGGAGGGGCCGGGGGGGCGGCGGCGCCGATGACCGGCGCGAGTTCGCTGGAGCGGCCGCTGAGTTACGGCGAGGTGAGAGGAGAGGCGTCGTGAAGGGGGCCGAGAGGCCGGAAGGGCGGCGGCGATGCTGCTGCGTCGCGCCCGGCGGCTGTGAGGGAGACGCTGCCACGGGAGACGGAGGGAGCGGGGAGGGAGGTGCGTGGGAGACGAGGAGCGAGTCTCTGATACTGATGCTCCACAGTTTTTATTTATTTATTGTTACGATCGTAGGGGAGATTTTTTTTTGTCCCGAGGTTGTTGCGTTTCCGCCCATTCGCTGCCCTTTTCACTATTTCGCTTCGGTAGCTCCCAGCTCATGGAACACGGAGGGGGAAGCCCCTCGGTTGGTGTTTGTGGAGTGTTCAGGATAGAGCTTAGCGCTAGGTAGGTGTTGTTACTCTGGAGGGTTAGCGTTAGGGTTTTTAGTTAAGGCTGACGGTGTAGGGGTTAGGCTGTAGCGTTAGGGTTACTAATGAATTAGAGCTTAGCGGTTCGGGTGAAGGATTAGGGTCCGAGTCAGGGGCTTAGTGTTAGGAACCACCCCACGCATTAACCACCTATTTGTTCTAGATTCAACGACCTAACGACAGCAGACTCGTTTCTGAGATCAGATGCAATGCACGGGCCACAAGACTTCCCCAACACGATTTTCTCAAATGATAATTACCTTCAAAACTACCCCCTCCACCCCCGTCGCCCAATTCGCCGAACGCCGTTGCGTTGTCGGGGGCGGACGTTGAGCGAGCGAGAAGCGAGGTCAGAACGGACGCGAGTGGCAGCGGTGACGATGGGGGGGGGGGGGGGAGGAGGAGACGGTGGTGGTGGTGCGGTTAAATCAGCGACGAGTTCCTCCCGTCATCGTCGTCGTCGTCGTCAGCTGCTGCTGCTCCGCTATCCTGATCAGGGCTGTCCAGACAGGTTGGGGGGGGGGTGGTGGAGTGGGGGCCGGTGGCGGTAAGCAAAGAGCCATTGGGCACTGGGCCTCACATGAAAGAGGGGACCCCCGGCGGCACTGATGGCGATTGATCTTTACAAAATAATAATAATAATAATGATGAAGAATCCTACTGAAGCATTCATTATTTATTAATATCCATCCAACAACAAAAAGGGCTGTCCCGTCGCGATCTTTGCGCCGGCCAGCCGGCCAGCCGGCCAGCCGGCCAGCCGGCCAGCCGGCCAGCCGGCCAGCGAGCCGTTGGAACTTTGCGCAACACGGACCTCCGCGCGTGACAACGCCGACCGCCTGTGGCGGCTCCGCATTTAAAGAGCGGCGCGCTCTTAACGCGGGGGGCACCCAGAGCTGCGTCGGGCGCACGTCCGCGAAGCGTCGCAACGCGCAGCGTTCGGCCCGTAGCAGCTGCCGTGCGCCAAAGCCTATGGCCAGCGTGGCGCGAAAGCCGGACGCTTCCCGTTATAATGTTTCCCGTCACACGGTTCTTGGGTGGGCTCCGGGGGGGGGGGGGGGGGGGGTGGGGAGGGTGGGGAGGGAGGGTCATACGTTGCCGAGCCGGCGCCGCCGAACTCCTGGGTTCCAATCTGGGGGTCCAGCCGCAGCGACGGAGCCGAGAGCTCGAGTCGTACCTGACGTCGACGTTCTAAGCCTGGTCACCCAACGGCCGCCGAAAAATAAATAAATAAATAAATAGACACTCGCTCGCAATTCCATTTAACGAAAGGTTTGAACTTCCTTTGGCGAAATTATAAATCCGAGAATTGAAAAAAGTATCGATCGGTTCAAGTGCCGCGCAACGAGCATTTCCCTCCGTGGCGGAACGAGCGCCGCCCCATCGTGCACGCGTGTGCGTGCGGATAAAAGCAGGCACTTTTGAAGGGGTCTCAGAAGTATCTCTACGATGTCCACTTCAGCGAGGTCGTTCCCTAACACGTGGGGTGATGGCGTGACGCAACTCCACTCTGCGAGAGTTCCGAATGGGTCCCCCCCCCCGGTTCATAGCACAACGGGCGAGAGCACAATCAGAAATTGTCAAATGCAGCTGAATCCCCTCTCAACGACGGTGATTGGTTCCACGAAGCCGGTCGTTAAGTGATTTGGTCGTTGAGCGAGTATAGGAAACGTTAAAGGCTTCATTCGTTCCGACAGCATCGAAAGTTACCATCTTTTGACCCGAAAAACGTACTATAAAATTTTAATACTGGCTATTAATACAGAAAGATACCAGCAACATTATAAACACGTAATAATATTAAAAGAAACAGTTAATTAATGCATTAATTATTATCTACTGTAGCTACAACAGCTTGTCGTTAACAGGGGAATGGTTGGTAAGCGAACACATTGGGCTCTATGGAGGCACTACACTACTATACACTACACTATACACTACTATACACTACACTTCTATACACTACACTATACACTACACTACTATACACTACACTATACACTACACTACTTTACACTACACTACACACTACACTACTATACACTACACTACTTTACACTACACTATACAATACACTACTTTACACTACACTATACACTACTATACACTACACTACTATACACTACACTTCTATACACTACTCTACACTACACTTCTATACAATACACTACTAAACACTACTATACACTACACTATACACTACACTACTATACACTACACTTCTATACACTACACTACACTATACACTATTATACACTACACTACTATAAACTACCATTCACTACACAACTGTACACTACACGATACACTACACTACTATAGACTACACAACTATACACTACACTGCTATACACTACACTACCATTCACTACGCAACTATACACTACACAATTATACACTACACTATACACTACACTACTATACACTACACTTCTATACACTACCATTCACTACGCAACTATACACTACACTACTATACACTACACTATACACTACACTACTATACACTACCATTCACTACGCAACTATACACTACACTACTATACACTACACTATACACTACTATACACTACCATTCACTACGCAACTATACACTACACTACTATACACTACACTATACACTACACTACTATACACTACCATTCACTACGCAACTATACACTACACTACTATACACTACACTATACACTACACTACTATACACTACCATTCACTACGCAACTATACACTACACTACTATACACTACACTATACACTACACTACTATACACTACCATTCACTACACAACTATACACTACACTACTATACACTACACTATACACTACACTACTATACACTACACATTGGGCTCTATGGAGGCCTGTCGCTAAACGATTAGTCGTTTACAGGGGTGCTCGTTAAGAGGGGTGCTACTCTACACTATACACTACACTACTATACACTACACTACTATACACTACACTATACACTACACTGCTATACACTACGCTATACTACTATACACTACTATACACTACACTACTATACACTATACACTACACTACTATACACTACACTACTATACACAATCTTGATTTGAAGCTTTCGTCACTGCAGGCATCCATACTCTTTGGCTCTTTCGGTAAAGTCACGTGGTAGGTAGAAAATTAATAGTTCACGACGTTTCGATCGCAACGCAAGCGGCCGTCGTCAGGTGTAACAGGCACAGCGGGGAGAGATGCTGACCCGGTGGTGACCGTCACCCCGCTCTATTTCAGATCGGCAAGCGGGGGTCGATCTCTTCACAATTCTGGCAAAAATCGCCTCCGATGATGCTGGCCCGTAATTACGGGCGAGGCCACGCGGTGCTCAGATTGTAAACGTTGTGGATTTAACTCGGTGGGCTCAAGTAGTAGTAACCAACTGACCGGCTACGTTGGGGCTGGTGGCGGGTTAACAGCGCAATTTTATAAAGAATTAAAGCTTTCGTGACTGCGTAAATTACTCAGTGGTTTTTTTTTGGGCAAAAGTCACGTATGTGGAAATATCCTAAAGTTGTATTAAAAATAAATCAAATGTTCGATTTAAAGCTTTCGTGACTGCAAGGATTCATCTTCTTTGGTTCTTTCGGTAAAGTCACGTAGAATGAGAATAAAATAATACATTGATAAAATAAAATAACACAATAAAAATTCTCACGACGTTTCGGCCACAACACTCTCATTCTACGTGACTTTACCGAAAGAACCAAAGAAGAAAAAATGAAATACAAGCGCAATACAAGCGATCCTCATCAGGTGTCAAAAAAAAAAATCGACATCAACGCAACACACAGAGAGCGTCAAACTGCACGGAGGTAAACACAACAAGCAGATGAGAGACGAGAATTCAACAAACCCGAGAAAAAGATGTTGCGTTGATGTCGATTTTGTGTTTTATTACACCTGATGAGGATCGCTTGTATTGCGGTCGAAACGTCGTGATTGGTTTATTTTTAATATAATTTTAGGATATTTCCACATACGTGGCTTTTACCCAAAAAAAAACACTGAATTAACTTGGGGGGGGGGGTGTGGTGGGAAACTCACGACACTTAAAGAAAAACCGAACACGACGACAGGTCGGTTACTCGATGTGGAGGGGGGGGGGGGTGTGACGTCACAGTGCGTAGCGTTGCCGTGGCGACCCCCTCCTCCCCCCCCTCCCCCCCGTGATGTCGTGACCGGTATCGGAGTCGCGGCTTCACGGAAAACCTTTCGGAATGCCTGAGTTCATGGTGAAGGTGTAATCGATCAGCCGGACTAGCTTCAACTGCTGCGTATATGTCTGTTAGAAAGCTGGACAAAAAAAATAACTAAAACATTTTTTATGCTTAACAAAGTCCGGCGGACATTTCACGTGGACTCGAGACATCGTCGCAACTCCCATTCCTCTCTCGCTCCATCCCTGGCTCTGTCTCTTCCCTGCCTCTCCCTCTCCGCTCGCTCTCCCCACCCAGACTCTTCTGCGTGTGTACGCGTGCGGCTTTTTTTTCTTACGGAGTCCATGTTTTTGCACATTTTCTTACATTCCTTTCTCGTATTTTGTAACCGTGAGCCGCGGAACTTCGTGCGCGCGCGCGCGTGCGTTGACGCTTGTGTTTTCGTGCCACGGTGCGTACGTGTGCCTGTGTGGTGAGCGGTGGCGGAGCGGTGAGCGCGCTGCGCTACGAACCCCCGGCGACCCGGGTTCAAATTCCCCCCCTCACGGCCACCAACACCACGGTGACGATTATCTGAACCGGTCCTGGTGCCCCCTCTAGGATCGACTCTGCCTCGAATGAGTGCCTGGTGCGTTGCGTGAACGTCGCTAACGAGGGAGACGAAGGCGACCCCGGGGGCGTGGTGCTGGCCACACCCCGCCCGCTCGCGTGCCGTGCCCGGCCTTCACAGGTGGTGCTGCTCGCTAACAGCGCTGGCCCCCAACAGTCTATGAAGCCTGCACGGGAGGTGGATGTGTTGTGGCGCGTTTGTTCGCGAACATCACCTTACGCCGCGCGACTGTTCAGGCTCCACCAACGGTGGACAAGCCACCAAGGAACTGCGAGCGTCCACGCGGGTGGATCTCAACGGGAATCCACCGTGATCCACCGCCAGAAAGCTGGTGGTCAACAATCGCCCCGGGTGGATAGATTTTTATTATTATTATTAAGAGACAGACAACGTAAAGTATATTTAAACATTTTTTTTAAACTTAAAAAATCCACGGTCTGCAACCGTGTTATTTAAAACAACCGCCTAGCGACGGAGTGGCAGCCGAGGTAGGGAGGGTGGTGGGGGGATGACTACGGCGGACAATCATCGCTGCGGTATTGTTGAGAGGTGGTGGCGATGTGGGGGGGGGGGGGGGTAGTGGGGGGCTTTCGTCCAGCAGTGGATTGACCATGGCCGACGATAAAAACCGATGAACCGATGAGTATCGATCCGAGAGGCGGGCTCTCAGTGAGTCCGCAGCATCGTTCCTGCCCGTGCGCGTCGACGGCTCGTGGGTTGGCACGTGGCACCTGCAGCCACTCGAGGCGGCCACATTGACCACATATAAAACGATGGATTTCTTCAGTGGGACTGCGATGATTCGGGGGCGGTCAGGGTCACATTACAAATTCAGTATTATTTTTCACTCCATTTACTGTAATCAGATTGCAAAAAAATGGCCTCCCGTATTCCAGTATTATCAGTCCCACTTTTTCAGTGTGTAATCAACAGTACAGTTTCTTAGCATCTGCCAGTTAATTGCTGTATTGGGATTACTTTCATTTGCGGGGATTTTGTTGTTGTTAATGATGAATCTATTGCAAGAACAGACAACATCTGAGTTAGCAGCCTGGGTAAATGAGGGTACCAGGTGCAAATGCAAGCGTTGGCTCAACGTTTACCGCCACGTTGGCATGTTTACCGAATCAGAAACTTTAAGTAGACTGGTAGAGAAATCCGATGAGCTATGAAGCTTTTTTTTTTTTTGTTACACACAGATGTCCAGTATGGGCGGGTCAGCAAGTTGAGCAGTGATAGTCAGAGC